TGTTGTCATCTCATCTTTCTCCTACATTAACTGTCAGAACAGGTCATCTGGCTCATCCTCTTTTGTTTTCACTGCGCTGCTCGTCTTTTACTACGGTGTCAACAAATACAGCACAAACACGAGCTCAGTGACAGAGGTCGCTGCTCCAGAAAAGCATGAATTTTTTATCTGCCTTTTGAAGCAAATATTCCAACTCCAACAAGTTTCCAGCTTGCAGAGCTTTACTGTATTTTGTGTTCTTGGTGAAGTGGACTATCTAGTTCAGACAAGATAAATGTCACAAACTGAAAGCATTTTGATTACAGCACCACTAGTCTTCACCAATCACAGTATCTCATGGATGATGTGGACATATATTATGTTTCAAAGTACTGAATAAATATTTTTCTAGTGGAGGGAAACTGGACCTACATGGTGGAGATCAAAAATAAATACATATATGTTCACCCTCTACAAGTAAAAGAGGAAAATAATGATCCATTATGTTAAGTGATTGTCACATTTACCAAATATATCAATAAAATCAATTCATTTTCTCTACCCACTCATGTCCATCCATGGTCATGGGGTTGTAGCCAATCCCAGCACACTTTTATTAAACAGCAGGGTCACCAGGAATGGTATAATTTCTAAAATGTTTACACTTTAGTGATTATTTTTTCTGTATAAAGTATTTATTTGGCTCAGTAAGGTTTTCTTATCCTCGCCCACTTCTGACTGGCTTATGCGCAGCACCTGATGCGAACATGCTGCCTGTTTTACATCAAATCTGACAAGAATTTAAAGTCAGTAATAATATATCAGTTTTAATAATGAACAGACACGAAAAGGATATTTTTTTTATTGCTGAATGCTAAAACTAAATTTACATTTAGATTGCACAGGTCTGAGCTATGTGCCTACAGTCTATGCAAGCTTCCTCAAGAGCATGCACATGCTTGGAAATGTGTAGTCTCACCAAGATGTAACTTTACACTGGATTTATGTTTGCTCATTTGTCTTCTAGGTTTGATTTTACTACAAAATATCATATAAATGCAAACAATTAAAGCAAAAATGAAGTACATTTCCTATGTCAGTTTGATATTAGTTGGTACACTTCTGATTTCTATGTCAAAAGAAATAACAACAAATATTTTTTTTTCAAGAGACCTGATGTACAGTAGAGTAATGGATAATACTTTCTGGTAAACGTGATAAATGGAGGTGAAACACAGTTTGTTTTCACAATGTCAAATGGTTCTGTCAGACTGCCTGTAATATTGAAAAGTTAGCTGTAGGCTACCATGGCTACGCATTGACTCTTTGGAGAAGAAAGTTTCCTTTTTTGTGTGTTAACAGCGAGAGAAAACAGGCAGACAGTTGCAAAGATCTGACATACAGTAACAAAACATGTTATGTAGGACATTAGAGACAGAAATACATCCTTAATGAGGACAAGATACAAAACACACCAGACTCTCACTGTGCACTCTTAGAAGAGGCAAGTTGAATACGGCCAAGCTTTGTGATCTTTATTTGTGGAGAATTTGTTTTATTCCACATCCTGAGCTAGAGGAGTCTGATTGTGAGAGCGGTGCCAGAGAATTGTCTTGGAGAAGATAACTTCTATCTGGGATGGTTTAGATTTGGGTGGGAGGTGTTTTTATTTTGGTACCGCAGAATCAGTCTGATTCTACTGCGTTTTAGATTTTGGACGAGCATTTTCTCTACTGCATTCTCTTTCTCCGCCTGAAAACTCAATATCAGCTCTTGAGATAACATTCTGTGTCTTTATCAGTTTGTATTGCAAAGACAAAACTTCAAAGTTGCCTTTTTCTATTACTGGATTAAAAATAAACATCACATAGATTTTATGAACTCAGACAAAAACCTGAGAAGATTCGTCTGGGGAATACTAAATGTATTTTACCATATGAATAAAGTTTTTAATCCCAAAGTGTCTAAAAACTACTAAATATACATCAGGATGATATGATCTGGAGCTATAGATTCCCAGAACACCTACAAATCACTTGATGATTGGACATTGATCGAGTGTGTCGATACAATGAGGAGTAAACCGACCATTAAGGACTTGCTTTGAGCTTCTTGTGAATGCAGCATCATGTCGACTGGAGATAGATCCTGTCAGCTGTATCAGCAGCTGAGATCAGAGACAAGGCAACAAGCAGCCTCATCAGAGGCAATCATTGCCGGAAATGTGCTCCTGATTTTCTGCCAGGCATGATTTTTAACTCTGCATGGACGTGGGTCAACATGAGCTGCCCTCCCACCGACTGCCCCATTGCCCAGAGGGTCCAATCAGCCTCAGGCCACATGCTAATATAATCAATTACCTAGGAAGTTAGTGTGAGGTGAAATGTGAAGCTGCCCAATTAGTTGGATTCCTTCCTCCTTGTAGTATCAATAGCCTTTGGATAACACGGTGAGAGCCTGTGTTAATTAGAGTTTTTCAACTTGCTGGGAGTAGCAGCTGAGTTGAGCTGAATGGGTTAAGACAGTTTTCATGGTTTCAGCAAAGTTTTCTTTGTGGAGAAACACACAATTAAGCCCTGCGTTCCATACAAACTTTCAGTCATAAACTGAGAAGTTATACAGGGCAAAGAGGCTGTGACCAAAAGGTTAAATATAATAAAATAATATGTGCAGATTCTAGTGTGTGGAAGCTGCTCTTTGTTTCTATGTACAAGGCAGGGCAGATTTTGAGTTTTCTAGAGATGTATACCTAAAGGAGCAATAAATAAACTCAAACATAATACTGTGTATCTGTGTGACGTTGATAGAGTTGTTCATACCAATGCATCAGGATTATTTAATTACAAATTCAGTTGGGCCACATTTTAAAACCAGGAAATGTAGATGATCCAGACATTTTCATGAGCCTATTTAAAAGCTTTTTTTTTTATCACTTCATCTACGATGGCCAGCATGCATTCTTTCTTTTTTCTACTGCAACACGCTCAATGCAAGTTAAACACAGTGGTTTGACGTTTAGAGACGGCAGAAGAATAAAAAAGTTGCCAGTCCAGGCAGGGTTAAACTGACAGTTTCATTGTTCGTTTCAGTGTTGACAGAGACACATTTTCAGTAGAGCTCTTCCCTACTTGTGAATTCCGATAACCAGATGTTTTAAAAAGCTAATAAGCGTTGACACATGAGAAAACACAGGTTTGTGAAAGATATAATTGGTGGTGTTGCTACATCTGTAAACATCCTTCCCAATCGTTACTGCACATGTGCAATTCCCAACAGAGCTGAGAATAAGGCAAGATGTCTCACTCATTAGCTACTTCCATACACTGTACACTGTATGTAGTTTACTTTGTTATATATCAGATCTGCTGGGCCACTCTGAGGTTGCTTCTGGGCTGGATGGGACCCACGGGGCCGCCAATTTAATAGGCCAGCAATAAATGATCTGAGGACGATGCTATGAACAAGCGGCCACTGTGACAAAGCTGGCGTTATTGTTATATTTCTCTTTTTCATAACGAATCCAATGAAAAGACCAAAAGTAACAGCATTTTAGTTCATTTGTCAGCACTTCCCTTCCCTGTCTGTGTCCCTCAGCCTAAAGCCCATTGGTTCCCATGAAGATGTAACGGGTCACAAATAGTTTCAATTAAAGCAGCAGGATGTTGTATATGGGATTTATTGGCATTAAACCACAGTGCTCATGTTCACTGCAGTGAAGGAACACGTCACCCAGTGCAACAGTGCGGCTCACTGATGTGTTTTTAATAGTTTTTGGACATTAATTGGGTTCTATGGCACAGAGGAATACGCTACATCTGGCTTTGGCTACACAGACAATACAGTACTTAGTAGGATCAATTCAATGTTGATTTTGTTATTTTCAGAGGTTCTGTTGAGAGTAAGAAAAATACAGAATATCTCAAGCCTTATCCTTTAGGGCTATTATAAAAAGCCCTATTCTGGAGCCAAGTGTTGCTGTTTTTTTTTCTTCTAATTAAAACAAATGTATGTATCTCTAAGATGATGAATGATTATTTGACTATTACTTCACTACCCCAGTCCTGTTCTAGGACTATTTGCTGGATCCCTACTGCAATTAGTATGAGAGGATAAGAGGAGGCTTGCCAGAGACTTGTGTACAGACAAATCAAAGTTGTATCGATGTTTGTTGCAACTCCTGCTGGTTGCCAATAGAGCTTGATAAATGCAACAGATTACTCACGGCTGCTGTAAATTGTCTTCAGACACTTTCTTTTGATCACCTATAATCTGCACTGTTGCACATTGTATTTGCATTGCCTAATTATCCCTCCCCACCCCTATAGTTTCTAACATGCACTAGGAATTGTTGTGTCTGACCCAGGCATTGCACAAAACAAGGTGACAGATTATTTTTTATTAAATATGACATATTGCTTGCACTCACACATCATCTGCTGTGGCTTGCCAACAGCTTTTCAGTACACTTTACATCAAGGATCACATTAGAGGAGTCTGTGAATTCACTGTGTCATCCTTCAAGATGCATTATAGGCTTTTTCCTTCAGTTGACAACAAGCTAAACTAAACTCTCTTTCTTTAGCGTTAGAGGGGTTTCAAGTGCTCCACTCCTCTGTTTTAAAGAGCACAAGAGTTTTCAAATGGTATCACTGATCTCTATTGATGTTACTAATGTATCTACAAAATGTTTGTTCATTCAACATGTCCAATCAATACACAGCCTCCACAATTATGTCTTGTTTTACTTTTTAATTATCCATAACTTGCACCAGTGCACCGTAATGCAATGGCTCAACTTTTAAATTCATTATTCTGCATCATTATTCTGGTTTCCATCCATAAAGAGCTGAGATAAGAACTAATATGCTTCCCCTTTTTCTGTTTTTGTTATGTAATGAAGCAATTTGGTTTTAGGTTTAGGTTTCTTACAGCACACCAGACTGTCTCTCTTGGAGTTATATCTGAAGCTCAGAGGTTTATTGTTTCATATTGTAATTTCAGCCTGTTAATTTATTTCCCAGGTCCATGGGGAAGATGCATGGGCAGCGACTGTGGCCCAGGTGGCAGCCAAAGCCGGGCAGTCTGGTGTGCCCATGTGGACGGCTGGACGACGCTTCACACCAACTGTGACCAGGGCCAGCGTCCGTCCAACCAAAGAAACTGTTTCCGTGTGTGTGACTGGCACAAGGACCTTTATGACTGGAAACTGGGTGCCTGGAATGAGTGCGTGCCAGTTTCAGCAAGGACCTTTGGGGCCTCACGGCCGTTCACATGCAGTGGAGGCGAAGAGGGCATTCAGACCCGGGAGGTGGGCTGCATGCTCAAGTCTGACGGGTCTCCAGCAGAGGATGCCATCTGTGAGTACTTTGAGCCCAAGCCTCGCCTGGAGCAGGCATGTTTGATCCCTTGCCCCCAGGATTGTGTGGTTTCCGAGTATTCGCCATGGACATCCTGCTCCAAAACTTGTGGAACAGGCCTCAGGAACAGGGTGCGTAGTGTCCTGGTTCCTCCACTTTTTGGAGGCGCTGTTTGTCCCAACCTAACTGAGTTCCAGTCTTGTAAACCGGGGCCTTGCACGGGTCCAGAGGGCATGTACAGTCTCAGGGTTGGACCGTGGAACCCTTGCACCCTCCCGCAGACTCGGACAACACGCCAAGTTAAGCGCAGGAAAGGTAAAGGCCAGGGGCTCAGGGAGAGAGCAGGACTCAAAGATCCAGAGACGAGGGAGCTTATTCAGAAGAAACGAACCAGGAATCGCCTTAACCGGCAAGAGAGTCCGTTCTGGGACATCCAGGTGGGCTACCAGACTCGGGATGTGACCTGCATACATAGGAATGGGAGCGCTGTGGGACGCAAGTGAGTGGCAACATTTTTATGCTAATATGTTTTTCTTTCCTCAGCACTATTATATACTCCATCAAGTTTCCAGCATAGGCACTGATGTCAGAATTATAGCTTAATGATAAATACTTTTGCTTGTGTTTTTTTTTTATCTCATTTTAAAATATGGCTTCATTATCTACCAGGTCTTTTGCAGATACAGTAATGTATTGTGTTGACTTTCATGTTTGGAAGTAAAGTGCTTCTCACATTTTCAGGTACCTTTTTACCTTTACGTTTAGGTGTACTGGTCCTTAAGTCAGTGAGTTTCTAACAGCTAAACATGATGCCAAATTTGTCCTCTTGAAAGTTTTTCATCTCCCTGTCGGTAGGTGACACATAGGGGAGGATGTTTATCGGCTGTGTCTTTGTCACTGCTGTGCTGTCAGAGCAATGAGGCACAACTACCACAGTGTATTTGATGTCAACTTGCAAGGATGGAGCTGGCAAAGCAGCTCATTTTATGACATGAGATCAATCTTAGCCACAGCTTTCTCTGGCACAAAATAAGGCAATTTTCTGAGTTTTGTCCTGTGGTTTTGGATGGATGTGTAATGATATGTTGCAAGAAAAGTGAACAAATCAAGTGTCACTCCAAATGTTTTACTTGCTAAGCCATGAAGTCAAATTGACTACATTAAATCTGAATAGTGATGGGAAGATTTGTTTTCTGTATTTTAAGATTAATGTTACAACTTCAAAGGACTTACTTATGTACTAAGCCACGTAGATAATATCAGTTTAATGTGCTGAGGTTTTAAAATGGAAGTTGTCCAAACCAAAACTATCTGCATGACCAGACATTGATTTAGGAGTCAACGCTTTTTTGTTTGTTGTTTTTTATTACTATAACTTGTTTTTTTATAAGTTTTGCATTTATAGAGACATACACTCACATGTGCAAACATATTAAACATTACCCACCCTGTATATCTCTCCTGGGACCAAGAACATACTCAGAAAAACAAAAAACAAATTACCAAACAAAATTTAATACATTAAGTAATACCATAAAATAGAAAGATAAGTGTAATACAGGTAAAATATTAAATAAATAAATAGATTATGAAAAGAAGGGGGGGGTCCAATGTATAAACACTAGTTGTGGGTTATGGTAGCAGTAAGCTAAATAGGACAACATCAATCGGATAGCATCATGGAGTTAGTAACATATTCAATAAATGGGGACCATATCTGAATAAGCTTGTCATAGGAGCCACTCATTTTCTCAAGCTGGAGCAAGAACAACACCTCCTCTAGCCATCTCTTGTGTATCAGTCTGTGTGAGGGGTGAGTTACGTAGAGCTCAAAGATGGGTTCATAAGCTAAAACTGCAAAGATGTAGGTAAAGAAATTGGTTTGAAAGAAGCAGCCAATAAAACAAGTCAGTAATTTTGAACAGTATCCTGTAAGTGTCAAAATGGAAATCCATCAAAGAATCATTACTTGAATAGGTCACTGAATTACGCCTTCAGAAGATACTATTATCCCAAATCATTCTGTAACTATATGAGTGCTTCCACATTTATAGTGTTGGTTAACCCAAGTGGGATCTAACCTCTGGTCCTGACATTATTATTGCTGTGAGCTACAAAGTCACACTCTCTGACTGAAAATAAGATAGATCAAATGGCTCTCAATTCCCACTCATTTCTCAGCTGAAGTCTCTGCCTAAAATGCACATCAAACATTTAGCTCCCAAGAAAAGAATCTGCCACCAGCCGCAGCCCAAGATCTGATAGGAAGGCACCATCAACCTAAACCTCTACAGTAGTCAGACCGTCTAAGTATATTTTCACTGACTGGTTAATTGGTGTTATCACTCATTATACATGGTGACCCCATTTACACTTAACAACTTCATGCATCGTGGATTGGATAGTTCACATTCCCACAAGTTCGAGATGCTTTCAGAGTTTGAAAAAGGTTTACATGCATCCAAGACACATCTCCTCTTACAGAAGATATAACTGCATCAATAAGAACAGAAGTAGCCGCATACAGTTTTTTTTTTCTACTCCCAGTTGTATCTGCAGCTGAAGCGAAATGATACTGAAATTAGTCCCCTGTTTGAGTAAAGCGGCAGGAAGAAAGCCGCTCCAGCAATTTCAGTCGTGCCAGAAGACGTAACATGCTTCTCTAGCGTTTATCTGCTTTGTGTGGGTGGGAGAGCAGTGGATTGTATGTGAAATGGTTTATGTATAAACTGTTATTGTTGTAGTGTAAGTTAATCCCTTTTCTGGTGTTTTTGGCTGTTACCAAACAGCTCCACCTGCATTACCCCCACCGCTCTCTGGGCTCTTGTAGTTGAATTTGTGGACTGTCAAAAGAAGTCTTTTGGCCAAAAGAAATGTCTGGGCCGCTGAAAAGGTACAGTGAATGGGCCCTCCCCAAATCTTATATCAATGCATGTGCTCTCTCTCTCTCTCTCTCTCTCTCTCTCTCTCTCTCTCTCTCTCTCTCAATTATATTTAAACTGAAAGAGACTTATTTTGACATTTTGTACAAAAAAGAACCATTTGGAGACCATGATGGTGTATTTTGATTCAAAATAAAATCATTGCTTACATTAAGGATGAATGTGATTATTGATGGCCTCCATGGGTCTCCATAGCAGCTGTGCCCCAAAAAGCTTTTCCTTTTCTCCCTCCTTATGGGGCGGCCCTGGTCCAAAGGACCCCAACAGAGTGATGGCTTTTAAAATTTCTCTTTGATTCTACACAAAAACAATTGACTCAATGCAAACATTTATAAATAACATAGTTTCATAGGATGTTAGTCATACAGTAAGTATTTGTTTGCCATATTTTTAACTGACATTTCATCTTTACCCAGTTTACCCACAAAGAAAGACCAATTAAATATAGCAATTTACAGTCAGTATTCCCAAGAAGCTTAAAATTATATAGCTGGTTTTCAAACTATTAATATGTTTAGCTTGTTGATGACTATAGTCAACAAAAAAAGGAAAGAATACCAAGTGATAATGAGTAAATTCTGGTTCATGTCACAACATTTATTGATGTTATTCGTAATAATCCTCTGATGTATATATCAGAATACTATAAGGTAATCAGCAATTCTTCTAAGGAGGCTTTTCTTTGGATGTATCATATCTTTTTCTGTTCCTCGACTGACACTAACTTAAAATGCCATTGCTGTTCCCAAGAAACGTTGATTTGGGGCTTTCATAAGGTCTCTGATCTCCAGGAAAGAATCTGTGACAATGTCAGTAGAGCAAGCCTCCAATCATATCACATATCCGTCACATGCCACTGTATTCCAAGATTTGATCAATTATGTACTAAATCTATTCATTAATGCTTTGTTGGCGCCAAACTCTCAACAGTGACTGGGATCAAATATTTCAAAGGAACCGTAAAAACAACTCACATGCCCCTAGGAGCATAAATATTAATCCTTGACTTGTTTATTTCTTGTCCTGAAATATTCATAGTTGTTTTTGCCACTTTCGGAAAAGTGGAACAAACTTCCCAGTGAAGCAATAACCCAGTCATATTCTAGCCAGACGCTCTCTGAACATCTTGCTCCCTTCATTTCCAATTTTGTTTGATGAACATCTGTCATTGGGCCTTTACTTTCTCAATAGTCCTCGACTCGTCCCAAACAGGCCACGTCTTTATAACGCTGTCTCCTGCTTCTGTCCTGATAATCAAACTTGCATCTTGACCTTTTGAAATGTTTGCTGTGACACTAAAAAGGTTTTATCACATTACATCATTGCACTTAATGCAGAGGGTCCCGTATGGTGCCGTAATTTTGTTTCTCATCTTTTTTGGCACAACTTCTCCTCTCAGACTTTTTTTTCTCTCAAGTTGTAAAAAGGCTCTTTTTAATCACTTGACCCACATAGAACTATGTATTTTAACGGCACGTTGTTTTGATGGATGCAGCTCAAGTAATGAGCGTACAGTGTTGAAAAATGTAGACTCTCTGACTGCCTCTATTTTGTGTGAAAGTCCTTGGAGTCCATTGTTGCAAGTCACTGTGTAAAACCTACAGGCTTAAAAATGAACATTTTCAGACATCATCTTACTTATTTAAATAGAGAATGATTGTGTCCTCATTCTGTCTGAATGACTGAGATGAAGAAATAATGACTTCTCTTTGCAACTTTGAAAATCTCCACAAAAATGCTCGGGCATGCACACAACAAACGGCAAAGGCTCAAAGGATCCATTGCAACGGAAATGGGTCATTGGCTGCATTAGGGGCTTTTTAAAACACAAGAAGTTCCTTCTGAGACAGGAAATCGAGCCATCACCCTCAGCGCATCACATTCACTGTTCAAATTCCTCATTGTTTTCCACCAATGCAGAATGAACCGGCACCGGTGTTTGGCAGAAAAACAAAACTAAAAAGATTTTTCACAGTGTCACTTCAGTACCACTTCAAAGGCTGCAGAGGTGTTTTAATCTGCGAAGACACAGGAGTTAAGGGAAGAAGAAAAAAACACAGCTCATACTCAGCTCATACATTTCCTCATTTATACCCAAAGTCTGAGTTGCTGGAGGTGAAGTGTGGTGGCAACGTCTAAATGAGAGGTTTCTAAATGAAGCAGAGCTGTAATTAGCACTAATAGCTCGTCAGCTGCAACGCCTCAAGGGGAAAGACATCCAGACTGAGTAGCAGAAAGCAGTCGGCTTTAGTTAGAACAAATTTCTAATGATTCGGTAGGGGCCCAAAGAGGACGGCTTATTCATTACATCTAAATGCTATTTAGATGATCAAAAGATGTGTGTGAGCGATTGATCAGAGGTTGTTTTGGTTGTCTTGGACTTAAGGATACACACACCATGCCACACCACTCCTGTTTTACTCCTAATGTGAAACTGATTATGCTGTGTGTATGCTAATGAGAGTAGCTAATGACAAAATGTGGCACCAGTCAAGGGCAGAGAGTTTAAAGTGAAGTTTTGCATACCACTCGTAGTGTTACATATCCGTTGCTCTAACGTGTTCAAAGACCATAACCCGTTGCTTTAAGGCATCTTGGTACATTAGCATTAAAATGGCAGGGAGAGGTAACTGAAAGATTTAACGTCGCTGTAATGAGGCGTCAGTAAACTGCACACAGCCTGGCTCTGTTTACCATAAATGTGCTCTGTGACCAGCCGATGCCGGAGAAAAACAAACTGACAAAGGGATCTACCTTTGGAGAGCTGTGAGGCTTATTTGCTTGCTGTTTTTATTTGATTCTCAAGGAGTCCGCCATGTAGAATCGCCATGTTTCTACAGTAGCCTGAACGGACAAACCAAACACTCGTTCTAGATAAGGCTGTTAGGATTTCTTGCACAAGATCAGGCAATTGATATCTCTGGTATCTTTACCATAAATATAACACTAAAGACAGCAGCTGATTCGCTCAGCATAGCAAAAAGAGTGGAAGCAGGTGGAAATGGCTGGCATGGCTCCGTCCAAAGCAAAAATAATCCTTCAATCAGCACCTCCAAAACTCATCAATGGATACATCTTGTTTGTGGTTGTACAAATACGGCAAAGTAAAAACAAGTTTGGTTTTACGTGTGTAATGTGTCTATTTCTTGACCCTGAGCAGTGACTTCTGGTGTCTTGGGCTCAGTAAATCTCCAAGGTCTCCATTACTAGTGTGGAACATTATCCTCTTTAAGTCCTATTTGGGTTCTAACCAAAGGAAACCGGTATATTTTCACATATCAATCTCATAACCTTACCTACACCCCGCCTCTCTGTCCTTTCCCCAGCCTGTGCACACCGAGGGACATGCCGCTGACCGTCCAGTCCTGCGTCCTTCCCAAGGACTGCCAGGTGACCGACTGGGCCGAGTGGGGCCCCTGCTCCAAAACCTGCGTGGACCCCGAGTCTCCCAGAGGCAATCGCACTCGGAGCAGACAGGTGCTCCAGTTCCCTGTGGGCGAGGGGGCGGAGTGCCCCCCGCTGGAGGAGTCGGAGTCATGTGACCCTCCGGGTGAAGGCGTGCCGCCCTGTGCCAAGTGAGTTCCTCCTGATGACGGGGGAGGGAGGCAGGGAGCACAGCAGGGAGTGAGCAGGGTTTTTTTGAATTTGAAAGCGTAGATGTGTTTCTCATAGCGTAGCACTCGACAGGTGTTCGAGTTTCACAGGGATACAATTGCATGTTAGGTTGTGATAATACCCTCCCCCTTGGTTACAGCATTGTGAAGACCCGGCTAAAGTACGAAACACACCGCAGGGATTCCTCCTGTAGTCCAATAACACTCAGGCAAAAATACATTAAAATCAAAGGGGTTTGGTATTCAACCTGGCTGAGGCTGCACCCGCTTCCTGTTGACTTCCTTTTACTCATATCACCAAACTAATTTGCTCTCCTGGGTGGCCCGTGGGTGTGTGTTGGTGTGTGTGTGTGTGTGTGTGTGTGTGTGTGTGTGTGGTGTGTGTAGGTGTGTGTGTGTGTGTGTGTGTGTGTGTGTGGTGTGTGTGTGTGTGTAGGTGTGTGTGTGTGTAGGAGATAGCATATGGAGCCAGATTTGTATAAGTGCTTGGGCTGCTGCCAGACACAAAGTAGAGACAAATGAAGGAAGACTGCAAGGATATTTGAGTCCCACAAATTCTCACACACACAGATTAAAAATGTAGGCTCACAGATGGCCTTTATTCCCTCAGTTTCATCCTACATTTTTGCGCAGCTATTGTCAAAATACGTATTCATACTCTCCTACTGGAGAGTGTTTGATTCTCTGAAGTTCTCGCAGATTTTCATTGTCTACTGACACTTCTTACTGCCCCACTACATTATAACATTACTACCAGCAGTGATAACAAGTCTCTAGATTGTGATTATTAAAACGAATATTCATCATTATGTACAAAACTCTTATGTCACTTCAAAAAAATAAAGTGAATAAGTAGTAAAACTGGTAGTTAAACAGTGGCTGCCCACATTTATGAAAGCACTTACATACCATAAATGTGTAGTTCATCATGTTTTCAGAAAAACAAGGAAGACTTAATTGGTTTTAATTATGCAACACATCTGTGCTATTGTTAGGTCCGCAGGGTTGAAAATGAACTGTACTCTGACACTATGTTACACCCACACAGAGACACGCTCTGTCTCCCGCGTACGACCATTCCTCCTATTCCATGTTCCTCTTTCTCTGCAGTTACACGTGGAGAACCACAGAGTGGAGCGACTGCCGGGTTGACTCGTTGCTAAGCCAACAGGACCGTCGACGTAGCAACCTAACAGGACTTTGTGGGGGAGGCCTGCAGACCAGGGAAGTTTATTGCGTCCAGGCCAACGCTGAGCTTCTAAAATACCTCAACGACCTCAGAGAAAAAGACAAAGGTAAAACTCCCATAAACCCCGAAGATGTTGCATATACTTACTTGCCGTATACTGTATTGTTTTGAAAGGTAAAAAAATGGGATGTTAGGCCCTCACACATTTGATCTAGTGAATAAATTGAATTTATTTCTGTGGCAGGTATTTGCCTTGATGTGACTGACAACATTAAATACAATTTCTTTGTCAATGTCATTATATAATTCAATATTTCCACTATTAGTTACATTCATTCAGTCACAGTTGGCCAGTCGACTCAGTTTCCGTGCCCTCATGTTACCTCACATAAATGATCCCAATTAGTTCCAAGCGGTAGGGTGTGCAAATTTTAAATCTGGGAAAAGTGAGCACAGCTGTCGGCGGGTTCCCTGAGTTGAGAATTGGATTCAGTATCAGGAGAGAAAAAGTCAGACTGGTGCATCCCTAAATACAACAGCTCCTTTAACATCTCCATAAAAACGTTCACTTTTACCCCTGTTCAACTTTACTAATGCTCATTTTTCGTTTTCGCCTCACATTATTTGCACAGTATTGACAGCTGGAGGGTTTTTGTTTTTGTGCAGTCTGTGTTTATTTGCCTGAAACAGTCAGTGTACCAGCTGTAGAGTCATTATAGCTGTAGCTAGCTCAACCTATGTGTATGTGCAGGGTGTGCCTGTGCTATGTTTTGTGACTCAACCTCTGACTGATGTCAAAAACCAGGAGCTCCAATTCTTTTCTTTTATTTTCCTCCAGAGGCCTCTCCTCTACCTCCTACCGTATCTCTGTGTGGCCATTAATGTGAGAACCTCAAATTGCTTTCACTTCTTTGCATTGGCTTAATATGCAATCACAACGCCTATAAAATGTGTCTTTAAAGAGGGCATTAATCTGCACCATATGGACCCTTAGCGCAGCGTTAAAGCCCAAAACTTGGCTCCAGATCTTTCGTACTTCTCTGTATCACTCATGGCAGAAGCAAGTTTTCAGGGCCACACTGAATATATTTTAACATATATGTGTTAGGCAGGCATTATCATGCAGAAGCTGCTTGGTGCCATAGGGTTCATGTAGAAACATATGTATGTGACAGGTTCAGATTCTTAAAACAGTTAGAAAATCCTTTGCCTCAAAATGCTGCTCCTCTGTATGTCATAATCAGTGAAAATTGCTTAAGCCACTACCATTGTCTGCCATTTCATGACTCTATCCAAAGTCGACACCTTTGCATACGTCAAATCTTACAGCATCACACAGCATAGCCTGAAACAAATCAGCTGAACTCTCTTGTGTAACTCCAATAAATTTGATCAAGCACTGTATGACATCTTACGTCCTCCAAACCCCCACACACTGTGTCAGAACTACAGTCCCTTGATGGATGTGTAGAAGATAATTAAGTATCAAATGCTTGCAGATATAAGCCTACATGTTGACTCAATTCATGTCCAAATATACAATGACATAAAATATTGCATCTGCTTAATAGTGACTGTACACTGTTTTTCTATCTTCTCTTTCCAAACATCCCTCTGTGGCTACATTGTCAGCTTCAATCTTCCTGTTTGAACATATAAACAGCAATTTACCCGCTGCCATTTCCTCCTTTTAAACCAAATCAGGAGTCATTTAGAACAGGGATTTGTCTGCTCGTGTGTCCTGCTGTGACTTGTCAGTGGTCACAAGTGCAAAGGCCTCCATTTCTGACACTTGTCAAGCCAGCTTAGAGTCAAAGCTGCCCTCTTAAAGAGGGTGTTAAAGACATTAGTTGAGGCTAAGCTTATGGAGACCAACCGTGCTGATCGCGTGAGAGAGAGTGACAAAGTCTAAAAGGAGGTGAGATGCCCAGTCGGCACTTGTGCCAAACGTGGAGAGATGCTCCTCTCACGCAAACCGAGTGCAGCTGATCCATTCTGGTGTTTAGTGTAAGTTGTGGATGAATGGATGAAGCTGTGGCAGCGGTTGCTTGGTGTAGTTAACATTTGTCATGTCGAGTGAAGAAATATGTAGATATCAGAGTTGTTTCTGTTGAATTACAACAGCCCATATAACCGTGTCTGTCTAATCCACATTTTGGCCGTTTTTCCGTTGCTGTTTTTCTGGCTCCGTCACAGGAAGGTGACGTCACAATTCTTAATCCTACTTGCAAAGCTCTGATTGGCTCATGGTTGTTCTTCCCAGCAGGGTAATAGCCCTCAATGAGCACTGCACCAGTAGATCAGATATAAATTCAACTGTCTGGTAACAGGCTACTAATATAGTGGAGCACAGTGGTTATTGGTATATGATGAAACAGATAACGGCGACACCTTTTTACAGACAATTTAACCTGGTTTGTGCTCTTAAAAAACTGAAAAAGAAGACCAGAATTTTGTGTTTACTCACAGTTGCACCACACAAACAAGTTCTTATGTAGAGATTAGTTGTAACTACGTATTTACATCCAGTAACTACCAGGTGTAACTGTTGTGTAGCTAACTGAACCAACTTACAAGACTAATGGTAGCTTGCTAATATATGACTTATTTTGACTTAAGAGCTGAAAAGTTACCTGACACTGTATACAAACATTGATTAATAATGAAGTAAACTTACAGTATATTTGAAAAAAAAATAACACAATTTGCCAAAAATTACAAAACGCTAATAATATTATTAAACATATGATCAAATAATGTCTGCTTGGTTAGCTGCGTGATCTGATAGTTCCCACTTGTTCTAAACTAAATACGTTTTAATAACCCAGAGTAATACATAGGTTTACAAAGTATTGTGAGGTAATTGTTTATGTATTGTTTTTCCCCCCTAAAACCAGCTGATTAGACGGTGCTACAAATGTTCAACAGCAACAGATTTACACATTATTTAAGTAAGGTTATTAGCGAAGGCAGATGAGGTTTTAGCACAAGTAAATGATGAGTGAGTTGCTTAAGAGGGACCACGTGCAAAAAGGCGATGTAACCCAAACCAGGTGCTTTAATAAATTGACTTAATTGACTAAATCCTCGCTGTGTTACATCAACCATTAATGAACAGCACCAAAACGGACATTTATTTCACGTAATTATGTTGCAAATGATTAAATTCTTTAGCATTTCTTGAAGGGTTCTAATATTAATCTCAAACTATCTTGTGTGATGTTTAATAAATTCCTGATAAATGGCTTGTGAAGGAGAAGCTGACAGTGCGGTTTTATATGCTAAAGCATTGTTTCTCAACGTTTGAATTGATCGGCGGCCGTTTGTCTCTCTGTGCATCAGCCCTAATTAAAGAGTAATGAGTCTGGTAGCCAAGATTAAACATCGACAGACACTGTTCAGAAAAAAGCATGTTGTGTAAAAGAAATCATGTTTAATGTATAACTTGAGATTGTATGTCCTTCCTCTGTCTGTCTCCTCCTTTCTCGCTTCCAGCTGAAGTGCTATAGGGACTATATGGCGAGTGAGAGCATATTGCATATGTGCCTGCAGTGAAATTGGAGAGATCATGCATGTTGAGGCGCCTATAACCTCTGTTAAGATACAGTTAAAGATTCATTTATACAAGCATGTTGAGAGCGGTGTTGCCAGGGCTGGATGTGCAGAAATGTGCGTGACTTGTGTGTGTGAGTGTTTGCACGAAGACACACACACACATTCACACATGCACAAAGTTCTTATCTTCTTGGCGCAGGATTTCTTTTCCCTCCATTGGGGGGTAATCTCCCAGCATACCACCGAGACAGAGAGGGAGACAGTGGTTCAGTGAGGTTTCCTGCAACCGGCGCTCTCTTTCTCCCCTCTCTCATGCATAAATATCACCATGCAAAAGGGCGGAAGATACCCTCAGGCAAAGATTTGGAATCAGCTTACAACCTCCTAAATCTTAACCTTAATCTTTATGGGGGAGTAGTTTCGATCTGACCCCAGATCAGTATCGCAGCCTAAGTAACGTCACCCTGCACTTCCTCAGTTAAGGCTGCGTCGCTTTGGGTTTGAGTCTGCTGGATGCCTAAAGCACTTCTCTCAGCCTCATGGGAGTTAACATTCTGGTCACCTTTCCCAGTATTTGACAGGAAGATAGACTTAAAAGGCGCACTGACACTAAATGTATTAGGAGGTTTATTTGAATTGTCAAGTTCATATACTGTCATTGCAGGACGGAACAATGTTTCTCTTTGCCGCCTGAAACTACAGAGCGCTGAAGTAACAGAAGATACTGAAGGAATAGTTCAAAATTTGCTTTCTTGGGTTAGAAAATCAATCCTAATCTCATGTCTGTGTGGTAAATAAAGAGCTGGAGCCAGGACTTGGTTAGCCTAGCTTAGCATAAAGACTGGAAGCAAGGGGAAACAGCTAGCCTGGCTCTGACTGGAGTTCAAACATATATGTGTGTTGTTTGTTAAATTTATACATGAAGACACAAGTAAAAATGGGGGGTCATTAGCAGAGCTGTAGAGATGTCTTGATCAACAAAGGTTTATTTGTCCACCCCGTGTGTCTGTGCAGAGTCTCCAGCTACAGCGTGGGTTGTCAGACAGATTGTGGTTTTGGTTTCTGTACAGGCACAATAGCACCAAACCTGGCAACCTCGCCGTGACGACAAGGGTTTAGGACGCTGCTAACAGCCACTACACTTGATTGTTGTTTGCCAACACACAGTTCCAGCTCATAACTCCTGCTAAAACCAGCAAGTCTTTTAATTAGTCAGCTTTAGAGCTGTTGGTATTTTGATGAACAGAGTAAGGATAGGTGTTTCCACTGTCTCATATGCTAAGCTATGCTAAAGACATCCTGACTCCAGCACCGTACTTAACACATAGACATGAGAGTGATATCGATCTTTAGTCTGGATTCACACTCCACATTCAGCATTTAAAGTTAAATTATAGAAGATAAGTCTGTCGCTCTGAAGTTAAAAGAACTGTAATCAGATTTCTTTTGATCCCCAACCTGATGATATGCCTTGATCGCCCAAAAGAGTGATCATAACCGCGGGTTAAAATAAATGAAAAGAAAACGTATCTTCCGCTATTGTTCACACCAAAGATTTAATCATGTTCTTAAAGTATTTAATTGTTAACATGTGAGGCCCAGTTCCCTGTGGCCTCTCCTGCTGCTGCATTAGTCTCTGCTCGTCTCCTGTGAGCTGTTTCCTGTTACTCTCTGTGTTTGTTTGATCGTCTCCCCAGTGTGTGCGTAGCTAATAGCGCTATCTCCCCTGTAATTGCAGCGGGTCAGACCCAAAGACAGCAGAAGCCTAGTGTCCCCCCTCTCCTCTCCATCACCTTCCAGATTACAGGTAGGTGTTTTTAGTCACGCTGATAAGGAAGCCCCGGCCCTCTCCCTCTGCTTTAAGCCTCCCAGGTTCCACTTCTATCCACTCCACGTTCTCATTGTCAGTCTCATCTCCTCAATCCTCGTTTCCTCTACTTGTTTCTCTTGTGGGAGACAATCAATTGTTTCTCCTCCTCTCCTCTCCTAACCTTCTATTCTCCTCTAACCTTGTTTCATCTCCTCATCCCTCCCCTCCCGTCTTCTCTTCTCCTCTCCTAACCTTTCCTATCCTTCCCTCATTACTTACCTTTTCTCTATCCTTGTCCCCTCTCCTCTCCTCCCACCTTGTTTCTTTTAATCTCCTGTCCTCTATTCCTGTTTCCACTCCTAATTTTTCTTTCCTTCCCTCTCCGTTCCTTTCCTCTAACCTTGTTTGGTCTCCTCATTCCTCCTCTCCCTTCTTCTCTTCTCCTCTCCTAACCTCTCCTATCCTTCCCTCATTCCTTTTCTTTCCTCTCTCCTTGTCTCCTCTCCCCTCCTCTTTTGAACATAATGGATCACAAAGGAAAATACGACTAATAATAAACTCTGACTGTCCTCCTCACTACTGTGATGCTTTAGATTTACGATGGTGTTAAATGTACATAAACATACACACTTCGACAAAGTCACAAGTCCTGCTGCTCTTTATGTTCGGTGTTGTTGCCAAATCCAACAAAGGGACAAGCAGTATTACAACAAAGTTCTGTATTCTCCCATAAAAAGCCGGGCAGAAGAGCTGAACCTTTGAAGGGACTGTAAGAAAAACTTTGTTCCACCACAAACAGAATATGGATAGTGAGACATTTTCCACCACGGCAGACAGTAAGCCACATTCGCATGAGGGATTTTTCCCCTCCGTTGTCAGTTCAGCACAATAGAAAAATGAACTCACTGGAGAACGCGCTATAAAATGGACTAATAGAGAAGCAGGATATAGAGAAAGTTTTATTTCCCTTCATCACACAGAGGCCCAATACTCTGTTGGTCCTCAGTGTTGTATTTTCCAAATGGATTGATGTTAAAAGATTGAAGTCAGTAGTTCCCCAATAAGAACTGGATTAACAGTGGCTCAGCAAACTCAGTATTTGACTTTCAGTGTATTTGTAGGAGGAATTAACCATTTTGCATTTCAAAAGCCCCACTTGCCTTCCCCTGTACATTTCTTAGGGAATTATGATCCAGCTCTCCTGACTATGTGAGACTTTAAGCTCTTAGATGTCTTGTAGGAACAGTTGGAATACAGGAAATAAAGTGCCTCAGGTTTTTTTTTTTTGTGAATCACTAAATATCCGACTTAAAAAGAAAAATTTTATTTCAATGTATCACTCAATACAGCTGAGATCAATCCATCATTATACTTTGTAGAGAAAAGTCTTATATTCTTTTTTTTTACTCTCATGCCACCACTGATGTCTTAAGACTGAGAATCAGGTTTTACAAAAGGTGGATTTTCTTATCTTTCTTATCCCAAACATGTACGACAACAGATGGTACCAATTCCGTGTTTTACCGTTCTCCAGTAGCATCAAATTACAATGAAACAAAGTCTTCTTACACTAACAGGTGTTTATGGAGCATTGCAGTCATGAGTTGATTAAAGGAGATGAAAACAACACTCACTCTTGAGACGTGATGCTGATTTGAGAACAAAGTACCCGATATTATTGTCTATTACAATGTTTTGCCAAAAAGGTCTTAAAATATCTCCCGTATTATAAATTGCACTATTGAGTCTCCTGATCTCCTGTTATCTGTTATCAGAGGAAAAACCTTAGACCATAAACTGTAACTGTAATATTTTACAATTAAATTGGATTCACATGCACAGCTGTACGTGTTTGCTCTGTATGTGTGAAGCTGGGAAATGGAGACGGGTTTAGATGTGTCAGTCAAAGTGTGGCGCTCCAGGCAGGGGGGTTGAATCTGTCTGCTGAGTGAGCAAAACTCACTCTTATATCCAAGGACGACCTGGAAGCATGAAGGTTGTGTCCTGTTGACCAGGTTTTTAAAGCAATAGATTGATATTTTAAGAAATAGGCTCATTTAGTCAGATGAGATGAATAATTGATATGACTTTTATATCTCCCTGTAACAATAAATATGAGGGGAAACAAGGGAAGAAAAACAAAAATGATAGTAAGTATCTGGCTTATAACCCCCTTAAAAACCACAAAATGTTGTTTAGACATTTTGGTTTTTGTACTGATTAAGCAAACAAGATATGAGGTGATGACACTTTACTTTTGTAGAGTCGTGCTAGTCGTTTCCTCCTGCTTCCAGTCTTTATGCTAAGCTAAGCTAACTGCCTGCTGGCTGGAAGCTTCATTTTTAATGTATAGACATGAGAGTGGTATCAATCTCCCAATCTAACTCTCAGCAAGAAAGCAAATAACCTATTTCTCAAAAATTTAATAATTGCTGTAAATAACTACCAGTTTCTGGGATTTGGTCCTCCTTCTCCATCCTCTGATTTCCTGTCAGTCTCCTCCTTCTAGTGTCGAATAAAGACTCAAAAAGGGAAGGAAACATGGAGCACAGTTCTTGGAGATACAGTAGCAGCACTTTGAAATGACACTGACACAAGCGTACGTACAGTATGTGCATGCATAAATGCATAAACCCAGTATCTTCAGAAACCCCACACATCAGATTTATTTATTGTGGCACGGTTCAGCAGACATGTAGAAATGTATTCTGCACAGTTGTCACAGAGCTGTGCTTTGCATGGAGATAGCATCTCTCCTCTTTTATTTCGACAAAGTTCCTCAGTGGGAGTTCAGACAGGCATGGACATACCAGTTGTATCATGAAAAAGGCTTTCTGAAGCCAACGTGGCACAACTAGGAAAAGTAGATGCCAAATTACACCTCTTGGAATAAACATGAGCCAAGATATTGTCACTGTTCTCTTACACCTTTAGTGTTGTTGCATCCTTTCTCCTGTCTCTGTTGAGAGTCGGTGGGCAGAGCTCCACAATGTTTTATGTTTCTAGCAAGGCGCTGCACGAGATAATCATTGCTAATTTATCATTCTGACATGCTAACAGGGAGGCGATAAACAAAACAAAGGGATAATAGTGTCTACTTCACAGACAAGTTTTATTTTTTTCCACTGTGGTTCTCATCTGCTCTCTATAGGGACTCTGCCAGGAATAAAAGTAAATAAGCATTATTCTGTCCCTTGTTCCTGTTGATTGTAATGCTGGTACATAGAGACAACCCAGAATAGGATCAAAGTAAAGCAGGTTTATTTGATCTGATTCTTATTTTGTATTTGTGCTCATCTGCACAGCCTCCCGCCCGGTGGAAAACAAGCTGTGCGAGGGTCCGATCCCCAACAGGTCCCAGCTCTGCCAAATCCCCTGTCCCATCGACTGTGAGGTGTCGCCGTGGGGCGCCTGGGGACCGTGTACCTTCGAGAACTGCGACGACCAGGCTGGAAAGAAAGGTAGGAGGACGTGGTCCTAATTGACAAGATGGTGTGTTACACTGGTAGAACACAATACCAATCATTGCCTTTTCTGGCTCTATTGAAGATAATAAACATGTTGAAAGTAATTTGTCTGTTATCTGTTATTCCCACTTCCATCTGGCATTGAGATAAATACTAGACAGTTTTATTCTGCGAGACACCAGCAGTGACCTCCTCCTTTATTTATTGTTATTGTTTCCAGTAATTATACCAACATATAAAAATGAATGTGCAAATAATATATTATTACACATAAGCACTTTCATTAACTTTATCTAGACGCTCTCTGCCGTAGTAACTTAAAAACTATGGTTGTAAAATATTTGGTGCTTTCTTTTTAAAGTAGTAAATGCTGCCTATTCTCCATCCAACACTATATTATTTTTTTTATAAGAACATTAGAATTAGTATAGTATATAAACATTACTGTTGAGTCTGAAAACATTAATGAATCTGCAATCTTAATTATCGTTTGAATACATAATATTGTTATCATTTTATACTAGCTATAATAGCTTCAGAGGAAAACACTGAATAGTTAATGCTCAAATGTCTCTGGTAGCAGGACATCTGGTTCAGAATACATAGGAAACATACTATTGCTGTAGGTAGTAGTGCAGCAACATTAAAATAACATTTTCAGTATAAAATATACATTTGTTGTGTCAGTATATAGAAATTGTTCAATCAGTGCATTCATAGATTGGTTAAAGTAAAAACGCTCATGCAAAATTAAATCTAAATCGACTGCGATATATGTGAAAGGACAATTAAATGACCAACATGTTCACTGAAGCTTCTAAAAAATGTCACAGGCTGACTTCTGCACGTCTTGGTTCACTGGTTACATGTGCATTATGGCTGTTCATGTGTGACATTACTGGAGGTAAAAACTACTTTAATACTAGAACAAGATGGGTTAGGGTAGGATTTCTTAAGTGCTCAGTCCATGTGCGGAAATCAAGGTTTTTCCTCATATTCCTGTTAGTATTAATGAGCCGTCTCAAGAAGTTCAGCCATCAAGCCAAACCAAGCTAATCAGGAACATCTATCATCAGTACTGGAGGAATTACTCAGAGCCTTCACTTAAAGGTGGAGTAAGCGATTCTGGAGAAATACAAAACCATGACAAATACCATCCATAGATAAAGATAAACGGCAAACTACGACACAATTAAATTAAGTTGTGTTGCACCGAATCATAACAAACTTCAAATAGAGCAGGTCTAGACTGTAATTAGTAGCTAAAGCTGTGAAATAAATGTAGTGCAGTGAAGAATACACCATTTCTCTCTGATATGTGGTGGACAAGAAATGTAAAGTAGCAGAAAAGATGCTATACATACAGTTTATGACCTTGAGTAAATATACTGTAGATTTGACTTTCTGTGATCTTGCCGTGCTGCAGGTTTCAAACTGAGAAAACGACGGATCACCAACGAGCCGACGGGAGGGCCCGGAAACTGCCCGCACCTGGTGGAGGCAGTGCCGTGTGACGAGCCCAGTTGCTACGACTGGCAAATGGTCAGCCTGGATCAGTGTATTCCTGACGATGAGAAGCCATGTGGCCCCGGCACTCAGCTCGCACAGGTCCAATGTGTCAACAGCAACGGTGAGAGGGGAGAATTAATTTGATCATTTCAGATTTCCTCGTTAAAATTCAACATATTCCTCCTGTGCAGTATTTGTTGACTGACATGATGGGGCAAATTCCTACTTGCTCCTTAGTCATCCTCGGATTGCACTGTGCTCTTTGACCCACCTCCATTTGCAATAAACAAGTGCAGGTCTGATCTTGTGTGAGAAATCCTATGTTTTTCAAGGTCACCTCCCCACTGACCCTCCAAGCTCCCGCTATACAACGCCGTACGTGAGGAAATTTCATGACTGGACTCCTTGTTGCCATTCATCAACTTTGTGAGGAGTTCTCCTTCCAGACTCCTCTCCCTCCAGTCCTCCATCCTCTCTCCCTCCCCCCTCTCTCCCCTCTCTCCCTGTTAAACCTCTCCCACTTTAACGCTTGCTTGATTCAGCGTTGCCACCTCTCTCACGCTGTCTCTCTCAGTACAGTCTTCCTCTCAGCACGCACAATTAAACCTTACTCGCCCTAAATCAAATCAATCCTCCGTAGCCCTGGGTCTCGGAGTATCTTGTGCCCTTTGCTGCTCCTGATTTTTACTGCTTCTCTTTATTACTGTAAATCTTTAATATAAGAGGCGTTGTTGCAGACATGCTTTCCAGACTTCCTATTGCCTTCAGGTTGTGGACTATGTTAGATAAAATAAGGTACAACACATTATTGATTTTTATTCAGTTGCTTTTTTCCAGCGAGGTGAAGATTACATGGCGTTTTTATTTATTCAGCATGTAAAGTTAGAAACTGCTGCAGCTCTAGGAATCTCATTCAGTCCCAAATGCGCTCAGTAAATCTTCATTTTATGATCCCATGCATTGACTTTGTTCATGTTTTCCCCACTAGAGAACTTGATTCGTCCTTCTAATGTCTCCCACAAATCACAGTTCATGCATCAGCTGCAGGTATTCAGTGAAGCTGGTCCAGTGGAGACTCGGCCTGTACTGCTGGAGTTAACAGACTCTGCACTGTTCTTTCTCCCCTGACTTCAGTTGATTGATCCCTCCCCCCACCACCACCTTCACTCCCTCATCTGATGAAAATTGATTTGTTCTGTTTGGATTTTCACTCTGCTTTTTCGGCCCAGAGATTTTTCACTGCAATGTCAGCTGTATATTTTCTCCGAGTGTGTCCCAGTCATAAAAGAAAAGGCCACACAGCCGGGGCCCCAGACAACAGCTGATGGTCGATACAAATGTTATTGAGACTGGCTATTGATATTCCCCATGCTGACTGCCTGCCCACTTAGGCAGAGACCTGTGTCTTCTCTGCACACTGAGCTTGGCGGTATTTCCCCCTCATAGCTGGAGTTCTGTTCATTCATGTTTTTCCTGTGTGGGCCGGAAAACTGCCGGGGTCCCTTGTCACTTCTTATTTTCATGCCTTCTCAGTTCAGTCATGATTGGTTCACTGCCTATCTGTCAAAGTGACATCTTAATGCAGAGTCAGGCCCAGTCTGACTTTTGAAGCTCAAGCGATTCTCCTCTGCTTGAAATTTCAATTCAGCCATTGAAAGGTTTTACATTTTCCTGAGTGTATGCATCGTTCACAGGAGAAAATATCCCCCCCCTCGCTTCATGGCAGCACATGAAGCAACATAGAAGTGTATCTGGGTTAATATAATCCACTTATGGCTGATGCAAGGAGCTCATTAATAAAACATGGAGGACGGTGTAAAAATGCGGGAATCCCATGTGTGTTTGCTCTTCATATGTTCAGTGCAACTTTAGTATAGAGATAAAGGCTGAAATAGAGTGCATCAATATGAATATTCTACAGATAATCCATAAAAAGGGGCTTAATCAGCTGTCCTGTCGGTATAGAAAACGCAAGTGAAATGTTTTGAATTATTTCGGTGAAGAACGGCAATCTAGGAATATTGGATCGACCCAGACACCTCAGACATGTCACTGGTTAGAACGCTGTTGGCTGTTTGTAGTGTTTGGTTTTGAATCTGTTTGATGCTTTGCAGGTTCATCGATGCTGTGATTAAATATTATTCGCAAATAAATTGAAGTTTGGATTGGAAGTCAGGAGATTCCACTAGACGGCAAGAAGTAACTCTCTGACTTCATAATTTATTCAATGACATTAATGTAGCCCATAAATATTTGAATGAGATGTCAGTAAACTCCACTTCCATCCTCATGAAGTCCGTCCTCGTGTTTGCAAACCTGTCCTGGCTCCAGATTGCTTTATACAAAAAGAACAGAAAGTGAAAAGATGAATCAATAAATCCAACTTTTTCTGGACTGAAAACTCTCCTGCTGCTGCTGTTTAGGAAACAGTTTGTATTATGCTTTTATTGTATGTCTAAAATATTCACTCCATGTCTGCAGATTTCCTCCTGGTTTCTATATAACAGCCACATGAGTCGACCAAAGAACGCCAAGTTGATACTCATGCCAGTTTGGAGGATATATCCTTTCCCAAGTTGTCTTAGAGACAACAGACGTCTTAAGAAAACAAGCACGCCTCTACAATGGGCTGCATGCTTGACATTGCGCCACCAATTAAGACACGCAGCTGTTCATTTTCCCAGCTGCTCCAACCGTCTCTGTACTGAAGTGTAGTTTGATGGTGATAATCTAATTCTTGCAATGAATCTTTAAGCCTTCAAGTTTATTCTTATTACCCGCCCAGTCTATCCTCAACTGTACAAGCAAAAGGGTTTCACTCAGAGCTTTAGCAAGTTAATTTGTTCTCTTTTTAAACATTTAGCATGAGAAAACTATTTACAGAACAGTCTCAGGTTTGAGCTTCAGAGCAATGTTTTTGATCACAATAGTAAGAAAACTATTTACAGAATCTAAAAACATATATTCATTGCTTATTAGAAAAAGAATATTGACACATTTTACTCGTACGATACTGGTTTCAGCCGAGCACTCACTCAAACCTACAAAGTAATAAGAATAAATGGTGGTTCTTCACTCCAGCAGCCGAATGGCACAAACAGGGTGAAGAAGGTGAAAAACTGTTGTAATTACAGATATAATTCTACTGAGAATATCTTGGTAATATTAATCATTTTTTAATGAAAAAGGTAGTACGGGGTTAATGCTTTACACCATGGAGTAAAATAATGAGCTAATATCAGTTCAGTACCTCTACTGCCACCAGAGAATTCCCTGATATGACCATCGGTAATTGCCTGAAAGTGATGCTAAAGTTGTACCAAATATTACTTTCCTTCCTCTTTTTAATACGATCAAACTTGAGATGATTTACTACCTGGTAAAAAAAAACTGATGTTATGGTTTACTCGTAAACGTATATGTGTCATTTTGAAAGTAATGCACATGAATCAAATGCAAAACAACCTGTATTGACTTTCAACGTAAGAAAACCGAACCCAAACCCGAGAGTCATTATCTAGAAACATAGACGGTAGTTTGTATGTGGAAAATATATATCCTCCCATTCCTCCTTAATTTTCTGCCTCAGTTTTCAATTTTTGGTAATTACTGATATTGATTTCCTGAAACTTTTTTGTAATTGTATTGCACTGACATAACCCCATTAGCATTAAACATGGCTAAAATATGCCTTCATTATCATTAGCATGGTGCCCCAGTCTCTTCATCACATTATATATTCTTATATATATATATATATATATATATATATATATATATATATACACTATTATTATTATTAAGAGACTGTTACTCTGATATATCCACGTTATTGTGAGCAGAGTGACGTATTGTTACCCCGTTGTTACCTCACTATTCGCCTGTTGTACAATGTAACCTGACAATATGGTTGTATTCTTCACTCAGCTTCAGTCTGTCCTACTTTCCTTCCTCCCAGATTTGATCGTGTTTATTTTCTATCCCCGTGTTTCTGCAGGAGAGGAGGTGGACAGAAGCCTCTGCTCGTCTTCCTCGGCTCCAGAACCTGTGCCCTGTGAGGTGCCTTGCTCGAGGGACTGTGTGCTGAGCGACTGGACGCCCTGGTCCACCTGCTCTCAGACCTGCTCCAGCAAGACCATCGAGGGGAAGCAGATGAGGACACGCTCCATTCTGGCCTACAACGCCGGGGAAGGTGAGTCTCCACCTGCCGACAGTCTACTGCACCATCGTGTATGGAAATATATGCAGATGAGGCCCAGATATTGGCTTAGTCATGGCCTTTCAAGTTGTCCTTTGCTGTCACTCACTGAATGTCTGGATTTCACACTTGTCTGCATGTGCATTTGTCCTTATCTCAAACAGTCTGCTTATCTGTCCTGGTGATTATTTCTGTTGGTCTGTCTCCTCGCCTGACACTCACTTTTTATCTGTTTCTATGATCATTTCTCTGCATATGCTTGTTCTCTTTGGTTTAAATCTCTGTGTGTGTCTGCTTGTCTGTCTGTCTTTTTTTTTTTTGGTCATGTCTCCAAACATTTCCCTGTGTCTTATCTGGGTGTGTGTGTTTTCCTCACAGTCACTGCGATGGTTGTGGCGTGGATCACAGTGATGGAGGGTAACATTTGTAATTAGAGTTTGCTGGTAGTTTTTTTTTTTTTTTTTAAACCTCCTAGCTATATGTTTACACGTAGCAAAATTAAAAATGTTACCTTGTTTTGAGTTCTAAAAACGTCATTATCATAACAGCTTTAGGGTAACTTATAATTGATTTCTTATTCAGCCAGTTGCAATACAGTCAAGCCTTGTTGGCCATGTGTGAAATAGCTTAATTGTGTTAGCTGTTTTCTGTTGTTCTGCGGTAGTATTAGTTTATGTACTGCATATCTCACCTGTCCCATTAACGTCACTTTAATCTGTATTTGTCAAAGGTCTTACGCTGGTGCCAAAGTTTCCAGAACTTTTTGGTAAATTTTTTACTTTTAGACTAGAAGTATAGTAGCTGCACTTGTAGCTTTAGAGTGGTTGAGAGATACAAAGGAAATTGTATCAAACTATATTATGCTGTCACACACTTTTATGAACACACATACTCAAGAACAATACCTGAAAGAAGCTTTGTATCTCCACCACAGGTTCCCCCTGCAGAGTAGATTATCTGATTAGATTTTGAGCTCCTTGGCAGATTTTGCAGCTCCTGTGTTGCATACTAATGATGGGGGGGAAAAATGAAACTACAGGAACCACTCAAAGCTTTAAGCTACAGGGTTAATAATAATAAGCAACCACCAGTATGTTGGCATTGAATTAGGTGCTAATTAATACATTATTAAGCCTAATTAATGACCTATTTAGCATAACTGCTTACATTTCATTCCATGGTGATTATTGTAGGACCAGTAATCACCCAAGTGATATTAAGCACTTGCCCAGTTCTTTGTAACGACCGGCAAACTAATGTGGCCTGTTAAAAGATGAGACCGTACACAAATAAAATTATTTTGTGGGTTCTTTATCCCGACTGAGCTTAAAAAGAACACATTAATATTGTTTCTGAGGATTTAGGACAGATATAACAAAACGGAATGATAACTTTCCCTATTCCTTGTCTGGCAACAAGCATCTGCTTTAACAGTTCTCCTTACAGTTGATGAACAATGGTGATGTAGACACCCCAGCTACAGTTACCAGGCTCAAACTCATACAGCTTCATTTACTCATTAAACTGAACTCAGACATTAGCTAACTCTAGACAACAGTAGTGGCACCTCCTAAATAAAAAAATAAAAACATTTGTTAAGCCACGTAACTCATAGTCACTTCAACATAAAATACTCAATTGCATGAGAAATATAAAAATACATTCAATACAAAAACTCCCATTTACACATTCTACAATCAGAAACAATTTAGTAGTACAATTAACTCACTTCACCCAGTGTGCAGCCTGTGTCCAAGACACACACCGAATTCAACACGCATATATCTCCCCTCTAAATTAGGCAGAAAACATACAAATGGACATAGCTTATTTAATCAGTCAGCATACATTGAAATGAGATAATTCTGTTTATACATGTGCTTTATCATTACTCACGCTAACCCCGCTGTTCAGTGTTGCCCTCAGCGTGGCGGAGATACGCACACAAACTCATTTACAGATCTACAGAAATCGTCAGGAATACAAAATCATCATTAATCAGCCTTAAGTCTTCTAAATTAATCGTTATCCCATCTGCTGACACTTATAACCATTTTCATATTTTACCGAAATTTATAGGGATATTTATCTGAAACATAAACAAAGATACACACCACGGCAGTCAGTCACCTCCTGGTACTGCCACTTCCTTGTTTCTGGTGTCTCGGCAAAACTATGCTCTCACACGCGATTTCCCTTTTCCGCTGCCCATAGCGTAACAATGCCCCCTTGAGGGAAAAAGAACGCTACTACAGTACTAATCCCACAAGCAAATTACAAAGCACTTGTTAAGGAGAAAACCCCTGTGTAACCCATGTTCACCTGGCTACATTCTCCCCTGCTGCAAGTCAACGTCCTCGGTGACTTCTTACATATCTATCACTCCCTTAAGTTTTGAACTGTAGAGAACCACACTTGTTAACACTTGGGAAAAACATCTGGGCTAAGAGATACAGCATTACACGCTGACATGGGTAAGTGAAATGGGTTTTTGTTTATCCCTGCTGTGGCTCTCTGACTTCTGCGTGGAGGGGAATAGGTATGTCTGTCCCGGTATTTCCCTCCTTGCTCCTCCTTGGAGCAGGCACAGGCCTCAGCTCCAGTTCAACAGCTGGCAGGTCAACACTCTCTGATGTTGGATGTGGACCCAGTACTGGCTCTTCCTCCAGGTCATCATCGTCACTTACATCCTGTCCGAGTATTTCCTCACTTTCTTCCACATCCTTAGCTGCAGCACCCAGATGGGCCCCTGACTTGTCCGTCATCAGATCCAAACCCTCAGGTTCCATACTTATCTCAGGTTCAGTCGTTGGACACCTGACTTCTTCCACCAACACAAACTCTGGATCTGTGAACTCATTCTCTGATTCCAGATTCAAGGCAGGCTCATCTGTGGGAGAGGCTGTATGGTGACGTCGCCTCAGCACTGGTACTGATCCCACACATGGCCGCAGGTTCGACCGATGCACCCTCTTTACCGGCCCTCCCTCCAGTGGCACCACTGCATACGTAGTCCCCTGCACTTCTACAACTTGGTATACAGTAGCCGCCCAGGCGTCTTGGATCTTATTCCTTCCTGGTGGTCGATGGCGGAGGTACACCACCGACCCACGTCCACAGGTGGACAGTAAACCCTCTCCTGTTGCTGGGCTACTCTTTCTGCAGCCTTCCGCTCAGCACACCTCCCTTGCTCTTGCATGAGCATCCTGGAGACGCTCCCTGTGTACAGCCAACCAGTCAGGCATGTCATCTTTCACTTTCTCCTGACCTAGCAGTGCGTCAATAGGGAGGTGGGGGTAACACCAAAGAGCAAGTAGTAGGGTGAATAGCCTGTAGTTGAGTGTGGCGTGGCATTATACGCATAAACAAGCTCTGACAGGTGTTCAGCCAACTTTTTTTTCAGGGGAGTGCCGCAGGTTGAATGATAATTCTATATGATTTTTTTTGGGGGTGGTGGGGTGGTGCGGGTTTTCTTTACTCCATACAACTTGCACACCTGCGATACTCACTTTAAAGTGGCACTTACAAGTACATTCTCCCTGCCATCTGTGGCACGTCAAGCGTTGTGTAGTCCACAGCAACTACCTCAAGTGGGCGAGTAGCCAGGAATGGCTTTAGGGCGCTGAATCCTGGGCTGTGGCATTTTGTCAGCACACACCTCTGACAGCTCTTCACCCACTGCTCGACATCTTCATGCATACCCCCCAAAAGCATCTCTGTCTCACTAGACCCAGGGTCCGCCTATACCCTGATGCCCCATCTGGTCATGCACACTTTTGAGCACTTGTTCTTTGAGGCAGGCTGGCAACAACAGTTGGTGACACCTCCGAGGTGAACATCCTCCATCACCCGGTACAAGAGTCCATCCCTTCTCTAACCGAGGCCACTGCCTCAACAAGGAGCGCACTGGTTTAGGAAAATCTGCTTCCCTGGTAGGTAGGTTTCTTTGCTGGCTCCAAAATTCCGAACACTCTAATTGTTGGGTCAGCTGCTTGAAAGCTCTGTAGTTCTGCTTTCGAATATCCAGGCAAAGTGGGTGTTATCCTGAACTGCCTCACTTATCACTGTCTCACCTGCCTCAGATGCACATAGCTGCCCGATCTTACAGTGCTCTACCCCAGCAGTTACTAAATCCAGGCCTCGCTCTGTGCCTGTCCTAAGGGCATTACATATCGCTACGCACCCATCGTCTCTGCATCCTCACTGACAGGTTCAGGTCCATCAACTACTGGTTGCCGGGACAGAGCATCAGCTGCAGTATTACATCGGCCAGGACGATACTCACATCGAAATCAAACACAGCTACTGAGCACCCATCGCTGCAACGGCTCCTAAATTGGCAGTGGAGAGGTGGCAAAGGGGGTTGTTATCTGTGATGACAGTAAACTTAGAGCCCAGGAGGTAGCTCCTAAATTTTCTGTGACAGCCCACTTTAGTGCAAGGAGTTCCAGCTTCATGCTGCTGTAGTTTTGGTCATTTTTTCAGCCCCTCTAAGCCTCCGACTGGCATAGGCTATAACTTTCTCCTACCCCCTGCTCTTGGTAGAGAACAGCACCCAAACCTAAGCTACTAGCATCTGTCTCTAGTAAGAAAGGGCGGGTAAAGTCTGCGTAGCCCAGTGTGGGGCGCTAGTTAGCTTTTCTTTAAGCAGCTCAAAGGCTAGTTGACTCTGTGGGGTCCAGGCTGACCTGAACTTCTGATTAACCTTAGCCTGGTTACACTCTTTCATACAGGTATTTACCACATCATGAAGAGGCCCTGCAATTTGGGAAAAACCCTCAATAAACCTCCTATAGTAACTGCAAAACCCAAAACGACCTAAGCTCTTTACAGTACTAGGGATGGGCCACAACTTCACTGCGCATATTTTATCAGGATCTGTGCCTATGCCCTGGGATGAGACTTGGTGACCAAGAAACCTGACCTCCGACTGAAGAAAGTGACACTTCTCCACTTTTACTTTAGCCCCGTATCCCTCAGTCTCTTAAGGACAGTCTCTAGTCTCACTAGGTGATCCTGGAATGTTGGTGAAAACACAAGCAAGTCATCCAAATAGACTAACACTATCTGGAAAACTAGATCACTCATTGTAGCCTGCATTGCGTTGGAATGTAGCGGGCGCATTACACAACCCGAAAGGCATCCTCAGATACTCATAGAGGCCAAATGGCGTAGTGAACGCTGTTTTGTTCCTGTCCTTCTCATGTACAGCAACCTGGTGGTATCCGCTGCAAGATCGATCGTGAGAAGAATTTGGCCCCACTCAGAGCATCCAGACTTTCATCAATGCGCGGGAGTGGAAACGCATCGCGTCTGGTCTTTGCATTCAGCCGTCTGTAGTCTACGCATAGTCTCAGAGTCCCATCAGACTTGCGCACCAAAACATAGGTGAAGCGAGGAGCTGAGCTCTCTAATCACTCCCTCCAACAGTTCAGAAAGCCCACCCTTGGTATTGATTAGGGGTATGCGCCGGTATTGTTTTTTCCCCCAATGCATACTCATCTTCTCCATGAAGATGGTCTCGAAGAAGCTTTCTGTAATTTTTTTTTTTTTCTTTTTTCCAACAAACACCTAAGGGGACACCACCTATCTGGACATCTACTTCGGGGCACTGGCCCACAGCCCTTTCCAGAAAGTGTTCTTTGGTTAGAGTGTTCTTTGAGCCTTCTGACTTGCCTTTTCATAAAATGGCCTTTTTTTCTTACCCGACTAGGCATAACAACTACTTCGTTGCGCGATCAGCACTGTCTGCCATATGCCCCACCCTCACACCGGAGACAGATTGGCACCCATAGTGTACTGGGCTGGATTTAGGTCGACCACCCCACTACCACCTCGAACTGGCATCTAAGTAGTTACAGCAGGCAGTCACCATACTCCCGTCGCAATATCTACTACTCAAAGTCACAGTCAAGTCAGCCGCACGGTCAAGTAGTCTGTCTGAGATCCGTCCTCCACCCACAGGTTCGCTCCACATTAGTTTTAGTTTCTACTTTTTTTTTTTTTTTTTTTCTTTTAATTTTTTATTTTATTTTTTTGTTTTTTTTTTTTTTTAAAAAAAGGGGTGGTGGGGTTGGGTTGTGTTTTTTTTTTTTTTTTTTTTTTTTTTTTTTTTTTTTTTTTTTTTTTTTTTTTTTTTTTAGGGGGTTTTTGGAGGGAAAATTTTGGAGGTTTTAAAAAAAATTTTTTTAATTATCACGTATTCCCTCCCTATTTTTTTTTTTAAAAAGAAAAGAAGTTATTAGTTGGGGGGGGTTTGTTTCTTTCTAAAGGTCCTCTCAAGTATGAAACAGATCACTGGGTTGCTTAGCCTGTCCTCCCATACGTAGTTTCACCTCCCTAATTTATCCTGCAAACATGAGCACATTTAAATAACTTACATATGCCAGCTTTGTTTGTCATAGGGTTTCCTGTAAGCCCCTTTAAATTATCCCCATTGTCCAACATACAGCTTTTCTAGGTCATTGTTCAGGAACAGCTCATGCTCATTTGGGGCACGGTGTCGTGCTAGTGTTGGGAGTAGCATCGCCATGTTGTTAGTCAGTTAAGCTGGCATAGTGCAGTCTGCAGAAAGGCAGTCATTCTGAGTAACCATTAGGTTGAGATTTGTCTGAGTTGGCAGTCTGTGATCCAGGCCCAACTGTGTGTACACTGCCGCTCATTATATTGTTGGCTCGCTGTCAGCTCCAGCAGCGAAATACAGGTGTGGAGGAGCCACAGTCCCACAACGCCCCTCAATCTTTGCTGAATGCCCCAAGTGTCGGCAGTTTCTCTAAACTGGAGAGGGCTCTCTCCGTCCATCGACCCAACAAGTGAATGACTGACTTACTGACTGCTGCCTCACAAGAGAAATGGGAGGAAGACGTGCATGGATAGGGGGAATGGGAAAAACAATAGATGGAGGTTGTACACCGCAAAGTAGCACACTGAAAGTACAGTTCGAGTCAACGACTCCTCGGTCATACAGTATGTGAACACACATATATATCTGTAGTATAGTTAGACTTTTTATGACCAATATCTACAATAAAATAAAATAGAAATAAATCTCTGTACCGCTGTTCTCACACTCCCCCGGGAATTATGGCTGGAAAGTCCAACTCTGTGGCACAAAATGTTAAATAAGTTGTGGAAGCCTAACAAATTTAATTGTATAAGCATTTGTTAATGATGATGTGTAGCACCTTTTAAAGCAGATATTTTCCATTGGTAGAAAAATACAATATATATGTGCATTTATATACCTTCTGCATGCATAGTCAGCATCTTAAGATATAGATTTAAGATACAGAAATTCAGAAGGTCAAAAGATTTGTGGGGAAAGTTATCTGTATTCAGACTTGTGCTTTTTGGGAGCTTCAGTTGATTTCTAGGCAGCATCTTCAGAATATTGAAACCATACAGTGCATGTCCACCTTACAGCTCCAAAGTTTCCAGGATTATCTCGAGTTGAGGTTTCTGGGGATTGGAACTTTCCAATAAGTGTTGCCCATCACTTTAAAATAATCACTCTCCTGTCACCCGAAAGACATTGGGCAATAGAATAAGATGATTGATTAACTAATATAACTTTATCCATGTCCCGGAATAAAAGCTAATCTCATGTAACACAGACATCGCACCACAACATTGATTTACCATACATATTCCTATCTATATACATTACAAATATAAGTAAACATACATAGATGTATACATACATAAAACATACACAAACATGTTTCTCTGAAGATTGTGTTGTTAAGATGTCAATCTTAGATTATTAAGACAGTAATAACCTGCTTTAAGACTTTTCTGTTCTCAACTTGAAGTTTTGTAAATCAACTTTTCCCTGAGCATGAAATGATTAAAAAATGATGCTGAGTGAAGTCACAACCGACACATGAAACAGGAACATTAAACAATAACAATGACACTGATAAATCACAAAATAAGATAACACTATGAGTATTTCGTTGTCTTGAACCTTTAACACAGTTAAACACATACAATTAAGCAGTCTCAGATAAATCAACTGGAGCCTCAGTGTGTAGCCTCAGGGAAGCAAACTCTTACATCTCAAGGTTTTAAACCTTGAAACCGGCTCTTTCGCAGTCTCTCAACTCCCATTTCTTTGTGCATGAGAAAATGATTTTTTAAGGTTAAAATTCTTCTTATTATAATTGGGATGTCACAGAGTTTTAAAAACTGGCTATATTTTTTCAATAAACATACCAAAATTGACAGTGACTATGGGTTTGAATCTATATATGGCTAGTTTCCACTCGCTTAAAGCCAGAATTAATAGGATTTGTCGGTTTCCTCTTGGATACGCATTTCCAATCTGGCACCCGGTCTCTATGTTATTATAAAGTCCCGCCCTCACACCCTCCACGTTGTTATTGGCTGGGGGCTACATACCCACCGCCCAAAGGTTGATGCCCAGAACACCACAGATGAATAAAATACAGGCAGAGGGTGAGGTCTCTGCAGACACAGACACTGCCACACATTTCACATAAGTGATGATTGAGAGAGATAATTCTTTAATGAGTCGATACATTGCCTTTAAATTAAATCCTGCTGTGCTCTTGCAAACATAGCTATTATCATTCTGTTCTACACTGTCACCGGTTACATATAAGGTTCAAAGGCTGTTAAAAAGTATTTCTTTAACAATAGAACTCCAGGAAAGTCTTATTATTACAAAGGTTTTTTTTTTATGTGTGCCAGTGTAGGTTTCATTCAGTGGGTTTCACGGATTCAGTTTCAGGGAGAAAAATAGGTTAACAACAATTGTCAGACAGGTGTGCTGGATTTAATAGAGCTCCTTGTGTGCATCACGTAGAGAAAATGTCCTCGAACTCCAAGTCTGAATAGCAGATAACTGTAGAAACACCTCTGGTCTTGAATCATGATAAGTCTCAAGTCTGATTACCAATGTGCACCATTTTGGTATTGAGGCAGTATTAATAGATTTTTATAAATAATGTATCACCATTACTTGTAATGCCGTAACTGCACTGTATATCCTTGTGTTCATGTTGCATATATCTTATTGTATTCATATATATTTATATATATATATATATATATATATATATATAGTATTAAACACTTTTGATATTATATAAAACATATCTTCCCCTTGCTGTTCATCTATATATCTGTACATACTCTTCACTTTAATGCTTTTTGCCCTTCTGGTTAGATGTCAGACTGCATTGTGTTGTCTGAGTACCTGTATTCAGTGCAATGACAATAAGTTTAATCTAATCTAATCTAATCTAATGGAACAAGCGCAAAACACAAAATTGAAATATTATCTCCTCATAAAGCCAACCTCCAATTAGTTCTATTTTGGTCTAACTCATGAGGGAAATATCTGGCTCTCGAGCTGCTAAATGCTTCAGTGTGTTCACCAGTAGTTGTTAACTTTGTCTGTGTGCCACTTGGTGCTGGTCAGGTAGCGTACGGTGGGTTTATCAGAGCTTTTTTGCTCAAAACAGCCGCCTACTGCCTGCTGGAAACAAGCCTAATGAGAGCAGTGAGAGTGGACCAAAACAGTAATATTGCGGACCGTAAAATCCCCCCAAAATTAGCTGAAAAATGCGAAAAAAGAGCTGAGAGGAACTGCATTCAGGTGATAATTCCCTGAGTTTGACAGTATGAGCAACTCCTTTCACATTAAACTTAATTTAATCTATTGTGAAGAATAAAGACAATGACTGGTTCAGTTTTAACTCCTCCAATACCTGAGAGAATCATTTTGTTGTCATTGTGTTTCATATTCTCAGGTGGCGCCCTGTGTCCAAACAGTAGTTCTCTCCAGGAGGTACGAAACTGTAACGAAAATGCCTGCACAGTTTATCACTGGCAGACGGGGCCGTGGGGCCCTTGTACCGAAGACCCCTCTGCCTCGTCCCTCAACACCTCCATGAGTGTCCGTGGCGGCAGTGGCGGTCAGGGCCCCTGCTCCATGGGAATGCAGACTCGTAAGGTCATCTGTGTGCGAGTCAACGTGGGACAGGTGCCACCCAAGAAGTAAGCCTTTCTTATTTTTCCGCTTCATATGTTTATATTTCCAGTGAAACCTTAGTGGTTATTTCTTGCCTCGCTGATTTGTGGACGTTTACAGCTGTGAAATCAGCTCCTGGAGTACTATGTTGAGATGAAAATTGCCCACTTCTCAGGACTGAAATCCACTGGCTTTGAGCGGTCGTTCTCAATCATGTGCCATTAAGATCCAAGAGTAGGCACATATTCATTTCAAACAAATCCCTACAACAGCGGATCTTACTGATTTGGACACCGTCCAAAAAGAGGAAACTAATCAGTTAAATCTGGAGCAGCACTTGGAAAAATAGGGGACATGGAGAGCTTCAGTAATCTTTTGATGTGTGAAATCCTTTGTTAAAGAATCTCTTTTGTTTTTGGTTGCTACTGGATGAACACAGAAAGAGGTTAGAGTCAGTCTTTAAGCAAAAATTTATAAAAACGCTTACTGACATTGGCAAGTCAAACAGTGATCTGTGAGCATCTGTTAGGATGCGTAAGCGAATAGTCAAGACATTAAGTCATCGTCGTTTGTTCATTTGAAATGACATCGGTGGCAGACTTTCCATGGTGAGAGTGAACGGTACATGCAGATATGTGGGTGACATTGAAAAGCAAGCAAGATTTAAAAAACAAAAGGAGAGTCAGGAGGTGAGAAACAGATGAGAGAAGTAGCAGTGATGGGGAGCAAAGTGACAGCGGGAGAGTAAAGTGAGTCAGAGACAAAAACAAGGAGCCGGTTAAGTAAGCAGAGCAGAGTCTACGTGAAGTTAACTCCCAATTCATATCTTCCCTTTGCAGGCGACCACAGATAAATAAATAATCTCTCCGTCCCTGAAAGCCTAATTAACCCTGCCGTTTTGGGCGCTGGTAATTTCTCATTGATGATAATGACAGTAATTAAATGGGATTGATACTTTAAGGCAATTTAATCACGAGGCAGATGAGAGACAAGATGTTTGTGGTTAACTCTGAAGACCACACTGCATGAGGTGGATTCAAAATATGCTGCCAAATTTACTTTAATGTCTGCCAGAAACTTCTGCTCTTGCCTGGTGTCAGTTATGCTTGACTGATTCACTTGACAACAGAAGATAAAAGAGCGTCCAAATGTGTGGATAAGAAACCCAGAGTAGATTGATTTTGGGTCTCCTGTGTCAAATTTCTTCCTTTGCTTTCTCACTCTTAATTCAAGTCGAGTAAATTCTTCCTCCTCCTGTCTTACACCTCTGAAGTGTGGTTAAGAGAGGATGGGTACATAAATGATTTAAGGGGTCGGAGTGCGTTGTGTACAAGGTAAGTGTGATTCATAGAGAGCACCTCATGATGAAATGAAGATTAATGTCCAGTTCAATGGTGGCTGTTTGAGTAGCTGACCCAGTCTCTGCAGCTGCACGTACTGTATCAGGGCTGCAGAAGAGAGGTCGAAGTCCTGGATGTCTTGTATTTTATTTTTAAATCCGCACTGTGCGAAGCTGGAGCAGAAGACAGACACAAGCCCAGCGGGTTGGAGAGTGGGAGGGGTGGAGGAGTCAAGGGTAATGGCACTGTGTAACTGACAAACAGAGGTTTCAGTCGATTGGCCTCCATTATCTTTTGTTTTTGCTGATCAATAACTTTACATAAGTATCATTTGTAGTAAGGGCCAAAGAAAAACATGTAACAGTGTCACTAATGAGGAGTGAAAAGAAGATATTTTACCAAAGTGGACTCCCATCAAGCACCTACTCACCCACTCGGTAGGTGGTCATTGTTACCTCAGCCAAGTCGGTTTAAGGTTTTGGGTAATGAAGGTCACGCACTTAAAATATGCCAGAAGTTATTTGACATTTTCAACCCGTGTACCACTTAATGAGGAGCTGTTTTTTTTAGGTGAAGTGTAATTCCCACAGGACATCTTTAATGTATTTTATGTTGTTGGTATCATTTCATTCTTTTGCTTATAATGGATGAATCATAATAAGAATCCAATAAAAGAAGTTGCAGATTTCAACTAAACTGAACACTGCTCGCGTCTGTATTTAACAACCTGGGAATGAGTACGGGCTGTGAAGTGTGTAGGAGGAACTACGATGGCAGCAGAACTCACGCAAAAGGCCCTATTTACAGCCAGTGTTTGGTTTGTCCATCCTGGGCTACTGTAGAAACATGGCAGACTCCATGAAGGTGACCCACAGCGTCTGTAGATAAAAGCTCAGTCTAAGGTAAAACATTTCCTATATTCAGGTGATTATACACTATTGAAAACATACCTATGAATATTATATTCCATTTCTGTCAATAGATCCTCCTGAATGTTGCACATTGCACCTTTAAAATATGCCAGGAGTTATTTGACATTTTCAACCCAAGTACCAACTTAATGAGCAACTGTTTTTTGAAAGGTGACTTGCAATTACCACGGCACATCTTTATTTATTTAATGTTGTTGTTGTTATCATGTAATGTTTTGCGTATAATGGATGAATTCATTTAGAATGGCTGAGATATAACAATATGAATAATAACTGAGTCCATTAAACTGATCAAAACAAATAATCAGACAGGTTGTAAAGAAATCTCCACTTTCTAAACAACTAATCTGAATTGAAAACTGAAGCATTAAAGGATTCAGCACCTCTATCTTAACACTTACATGCCCATATTTGCATTGAAAGGGTTTTTGGTTGCTGTAGCTGTCTAAAGTTAGAGTGAAATTGGTACCAACTACAAGCCTACAGATTTCGACAGCTGAAGTCTTGTATTGTCTTCAGCTGAACTAGAGTACAATTTTGCACAGAACAAGGATTGTGGATTTGGTCCCCCATCACAGCAAGTACTGTGTGTCAAGATAGACATCAAACAATGTGAGGCAATCCTTTTTTATCCAACCTGTCCTTTGTAAACATGTTAGATTTTGAAGATTCACTTCAGCCTTGACCTGCCGTACTTTGTGTAGTTGTGTGTGATTTGAGTTTTACAGTGCAGTGAGCAGTAGATGTTTAGGGTCAGACCACTTGGGTCCAGCGTGCAGGAATGTAGTGGCAGCTAGCGGTGTATTTGCAGATCGCAGTGCATAAAGGAGAAACTACAGTAGCTGTGAGAAATGTTAATGCCCCAATTCAGAGCCAGTGTTTGATGTGAGCTACTGTAGTAACATGGCGGTTCAACATGGCAGGCTCCACAGAACGCAGCATCTGTACATATAAATGTCTCATTCTAAGGTAACAAAAACACAATGATTCCTATATTCAGTTCATTACACTCAAAAACATAGTTCAGTCAGGAACACTTTTGTCAAATAACTTTTATTCCAAAGCAGAATATTACATTTGGTGGTATGGCTCTGTTCCGGGACCTCCCTGCCCTTCCATATGCATACATGGAAAGGTTTAAGACAAGGAGAGCGGCAGCAGAGACCCCCCAGGGTACAGAACAGAGCAAGCATCAATGGTAATCAGAAAATGACATTGATTAATTAGATACAACATAAAAAGGAGGAGCTGGGGTGGAGGTGCATTGCAAAACGGCTTGCAGAGGAAGCAACAAAGATAGGCAGGCTAAATCAGATTAAATAAGGCGCCATGAATGACATTTGCCAATTGGATGCTTGAGGGAATCAGGTGAGCTGTCAGCTGATGTGTGTTTACAATTAGCTGTGATCATATGATATAGCTGGAATTGAGGGCCGAGCCTGACTTTGTGGCCTGCCTGAACTAACGCTGTGCTTAATTTATGAATATTCCATTTCTGCCAATATATCCTCCTAAATGTTACACACTGGACCTTAAAGGTCAGGGTATTTGGTAAAACTGGTGTTGTGGCCTCAGTGATTGCTTGCTAGAGGTTGGAGCAGCCCGGAAATTAATGTTTAGTCTCCCTCCCCGTGCCTCATACATTATTACACACCCTGAATATATTACTGTTTTCCTGAGATTCCCAAATTTGATTTTAAACACAAAACTGTGGGCGATGAATAATTTCAAATGTTGTTCTTTAGATTCCTTTATAGTTAGATTATGTGGTAATATTTTACAATTCCTCTTGAAAGTACACGTCTTTGAGGTGAAAAAAATTTCCAACCACTCAGAATTCTGTGTTTCAGCATTTTCTCCCAACATCTGAATCTATGCAGAGGGATAAAGGGGAATGTATGACTGTTTTACCGCTGACTTGGGGTTATAATGTGTGGAGTTGCAGGGAAGGAAAAGCTGTCGTATGCAACCATTTCGGCATTTTGTTTCAGTGGTTTTAGGAGCGGGAGAATTATTCTTGTAACATTTGAAGATCTTATACTCTCTGTGTCCACTTGATTCATGTGCTCTGCTTTGGGGATAAAGCCTCCATCCTGCATGTGTGATTTAGAGACTTTTTTTTGAGACTCCACTTCTTTCAAACTTATTCTAAACAATGTTTAACCGAACACCTGAATTCTTAGTTGACATTTTAGCATGAAAGGCACTTGGAAGAAACGTGAAGCTTCAGGTATATTGCTTTAATAATGGATTTTTAAGGTCGAACTATAGTAGCTGCAACATTTGAGTTGTAACATTAATGAGGTTTAGAGGAAGCTTCTTTGTTATAGTGCATATCATAGCATTCAGTATGTGACATTTAAAAATCCTGGGTATTTTTCTCAGGAAATAAGATCAGATTTTCCTGTGAATTCCCCAGAAATAACAGTATCTAAATTCCCAGCTTTTTCTGGGCATTTGACTCTCAATCCACCCTCTTAAAAAAGGGATTAAACTTGTTGTTCTGTAACTGAGATTTTTACAGTGCATTTGAGAATCGTGAATATAAAAAAAAACACACAACAAAAGCAAACTTGTCCAATTTTGTTTGGACCACAGAACAACAGCTCCATGTGTCATTACAGCCCCTGTCTCCTCCTGCCTGAAGGCTAAAGGATAGTGTGACAGATACTGAGAGCGCTGTCAGACCAGGAGTCTCTCCATAGTCTGTAAGGTTTATTTTACACCTGCCTTCATGGACCGCTGGTGCTGTCC